ACCTGTGAAAATCAGTTTAAGGGGAGAAAGACTTATTTTGGCCCATGGTTTCAAGAGTTTTAGTCCAGGCCATCTGGAGTCTGAGACAAGGTTGAAACCTCATGGCAGTGGGAGTATATGGCAGAGGATACTCATCTCACAGGAGACAGGAAGAAATGAGACACAGAAAAAAAGCTAGAAACAATATAAGCCTTTCAAAGGTATGACACCAGTGACTTCCTCCAGCAGAGCTCCACCTCCTACAGTTTTCAATACCCCCCAAAATAGTGTCACCAGCTGGGAGCTTTCAACAAAAGAAGTCTTTGGGGAGGGGGACACTTGTGTCTAGACTTTAACAAATTCTTCCCCCAAAATTATTTTTAATCATTGTAGAGTTTCTGAGACAACTTGGGGGAGGGGCTTAAAATAAGTAATTACTATACAGAGAAAATCAAATATCAGATAATACTTCTGCTTCTACATAGGATATAGAGCAGCTTGAGGTAGATCAATGTTAACACATAGATCAAGAGAAAAATGCTAGAAAAATATAAAAAATTGTTCAAAGTACCTGGAGAGCTCCTACACAAACTAGACCTCAAGGCTAAGTTGTACTGGCCCTGAGTTATCTTTTATCTGGACAGGTCAGATTCATTCTGGGTAATAGCAAGAATTTGAACACTGAGTTTTGCCTGGAAAGAAGGCAATGGCACAGACAGGGCTATAGATGGCCTCATAGAGCTGAAATGTTGAAAATTTAAGAATACCAATCAATATCCTAGGAAGGGAGTATGCAGAAAAACCTAAATAACCTAATAAAAGACCTAATAAAACCTAACAAACCTAATACTGGACCCATTTTCCATTTCAGGGTTCATCAAAAAGACTATGGAAAATAGCAGAGCTTTGGCAGTTCTTGTATGCTAAGGAAACAAGAATTAGAGGTCAGTAACTTCCAATGTTCTTACCCTGGGTATACACCAAACTCTCAGAAGGCTATAAATTAGGAACAGAGTAAACCAAACATGAACAGAGCTTTAACAAGACTGCAACCCTGCTTTGGCTCTGTCCTGACTCTGTTTAGCAGAATAAAGGGAATCTCTGCAGTGGAAGAACTTGCAGTTAAGATTTATTAACACATTTCAAACAATGGTGACACACACCGGATGCCAGTGGCTCACTCCTATAATCCTAGCTACTCAGGTGGCTAAGATCTGAGGATTGCTGTTTGAAGCCAGCCTGAGCAGGCAAATCCATGAGACTCTTACCTCTAATTAACCATCAAAAAGCCAGAAGTGGAGCTGTGGTTGTTCAAGTAGTAGAACACTAGTCTTGCTGGGGAAAGAAAAGATACAAGGACAAGATGGGCTCCTTCTTCTTGTGGGTATATTGTGTTTGTATGTAACGGCTGGTAACTATGACAGCTGTCTCTTAATTAGGAAACACAAGAGCACAAAGACAATCCAAAGTAATGAGGATGATAGAATGAAAAACGGCAATAACTTTTGGGGGGATGTTGAAGTGTGTGTGTGTATGTGTGTGTCTGTGTGTGTGTGTGTGTCTGTGTGTGTGTCTGTGTGTGTCTGTGTCTGTGTCTGTGTCTGTGTTTATGTGTGAGCGTGTCCTGGGGCTTGAAGTCAGGGCCTGGCACTGTCCCTGAGGTTTTTTCCTCAAGGATAGCACTCTACCACTTGAGCTGCAGCTCCATTTCTGGCTTTGGGGGAGTTAATTGAGATGAATTTCACTGACTTTCCTCTCTGGCCTGGCTTTAAACAGTCCTTTCATCTCAGCCTCCTGAGTAGCTAGGATTATTGGTCCAATTCCTGGCTTGGAAATAACTTTTTGAATATTCCATTCACCTAATGATTAACATTAGGATTAATAATAAGCTTCATTCCAGCCTAAAGTGGTTCAACAGTTCTAAAACTATAGATCTTTACCTTACCTACCCAAGTCAATGAAACCATGACAAATGTAATTCTATAAACCTCTTTTAGGGTTGGCCTAGGGAAGGAGTTAATGTTCCTAAGTTATTCTCTCCCGTAGTCACTTTGCTGACATCTTGGAATCCAGGAAGGTCCAGACCACCTGAGACACCATGGACTCTTATTGTATTAAGGCCCTACCTGACCAATCCTGAGATAGCAGGCTATCAGACTTTCTGAAACAATCCATATTTTTCCCTAATAAACTTTCCTATCACTTTCACCAAATAAAATAAACTTTAAAACCTCAGCTTAAGCCACTGACTTTAAAACACTTTTCCTTGGGACTTGTGACATCATCAATTTTCTTTATTGTTTATGCATGTTGAGTCAGGGCCACCTACATTTACACCTCTATAGACAAAAGATCACTAAAGATGAACAGAATGGATTAATAAAACAAAAACCACATTCAGATTGTTGAGGCAGGATGGAAATGTGGAAAGGATCAGGTTTGGAATGGCTCTTCTTTGAAACTGCAACAGTTGAAAACATTTCACACAGCTTACACTAGTGGTCCTCAGCCTTAATATATCTTGCAAAACACCCTGAGAAGCTTTCAAACTTGATGTCTATTGCCCAGGTTACAAACTCCAAGGGATTACCTTAGAATCTTGGGAAGTACACTGCCTTTTAATATTTTTTAAACCTTACCAGGTGATTATGACACAGAACCAAAGTCAAGAACATTAGCTTGAAGGACGTTCCAAATCTAGTAGTGTTACCCACACAATGATAAAAGAGAAAATGGCCAAGAAGCCAGGCATCTGGAAACTGCATGCTCTTGAGTTTGAGATTCCTGCCCAACAGCAGCAGAATTCATTCAGCTATAGCTCCCAGTAGCTACTGGAAAATTCTATGGAGAACTTGGATATGAACACCAAGAAACACTCTCCCTTGGCAGACTGAAAGACCAGCAGAACTTTTGAACTCCCATCAGAAAATGTATGGTTCACTCCCACATTTAGACCAGTCTAAAAGGAGAGTTGTGGGCTGGGAATGTGGCTTAGTGGTAGAGTACTTGCCTAGCATGCAGGAAGCCCTGGGTTGGATTCCTCAGTACCACATAAACCGAAAAACCTGGAAGTGGTGCTGTGGCTTAAGTGGTAGAGTACTAGCCTTGAGTAAAAGAAGCCCTGGGTTCAAGTCCCATGACTGGCAAATGATAATAATAAATAAACAAATAAATAAAAATAAACAGAGAGTTGTAAATTTAGAAGAGTTCTTCCTTAAGCAAATGAAACATTTTTTTTGGCAGAGAATATTATGTACTTCAAATCAAGCCCTACTCCCTTGTTATATTTTAAAGGCAGAGCTGCTGCTCCTATTGAGATAGCCTGATATGAAATGCCAATAATTCCATTTGATCATTAAGACCCAAGAAGCACCCTGCTGCTTGACCCTAGCAATCCAGGGATACACAAACATTAGGCAAAGTTGGCACAGCCAGCCACAAGAGCTGGCCAGAGTTACACCAGCCTGGAAATAAGCCCCCTTTTCAGACAGGGAGCCATTAAAGAAGGCCATTAAAGTCTCTATGGGAAACTTCAAGGAGGAAGTGTGAAGATCAGGAAGAAAACTAGGCCAAAAGCTACTGATCAGTCGATTCAGCCTGGCATTAGTCAGGCAGGACCTTAGACTGGTTACTTCTCCTGCTTCTTTTATAAAGTTAGACACTTGAATCCCATAGTTTTCAAGATTCCTGTTAGACCCCAACTTGAACTTTCTCCATTGCCTGGAAAAGAGATATTCTCTACCCAAGCATCAGTATGAATAGAGTACCAGAAGAGACAAAATAAGGGTGATAAACTGCACTGCCTATGGAGTCAGCTGACAGTGTGAGAGAGCACAGTCCAGGAAAGACTTGGGCAACACAAGGCAGGAGGCCTCAGCTAAAGGACGTGGGGACAGTTGCTAGTCAACTCCACATAGCTGCTGCCTTCTATGAGAAAAGACCTTATAATTTTTAGAAGAAAAAATGAACAGGGCTGGGAAGGTGGCTCAGTGGTAGAACGCTTGCCTTGCATGCCTGAGGCCCTGGGTTCGATTCTTCAGCACCACATAAGCAAAAAGAAAAAAGCCCGAAGTGGCGCTGTGGCTCAAGTGGTAGAGCGCTAGCCTTGAGCTGAAGAGCTGAGGGACAGCGCCCAGGCCCAGAGTTCAGGCCCACGACTGGACCCAAAAAAAAGGAAATCCACACCTTATATAATCTGCCAATTGTTATATCTTGGCAATGTTATTTTTTTAAATCCTGTGTTGGCAGGGAAGGGAGCGAGACAGAGGGAGTGAAATGGATTGTAACATGTAAAACTGTAACAATGGAATTCCCCCTCCCCCCCCTTCCCCCCCCCTTAACTAAATGGAAGCTAATAAAAATAAATGTGTGTCAAATAAAATACATCTGTGGTCAGTTATACCTTGTAAATATAATTTACAACCACTGATGCAGTGGATACTAGGATATAAAAGTTTATTCTTCTTAATTGGCCCTTAGCAGAACATTGATCATTGATTATACTCCTTCATTTTAAGATATATTGTGCAGAAGCCCTTTCTGTGTCAGGTATAAACTGGAACAGTAACTATATATGGTTCATGAATCTGTTGTCCTTCACGTGATGCTTCTCCTTTAGTCCAAAATGATAACCACTGCCCGTGCCGGGGGCCCTTCTGTAACTCCAAGCTTCACTCCTCAGGAAAGTGCTGGAGCTCAAGAAGTAGGAGCAGCCACCTCCTCATCCCTAGCCATACCATCTCCTCCCCATTTTAAAGCTGAGGTGACTTCCAAGATAACCCTCACCCAGGAGAGAGCTGTTTAACTACAGATAAAGACAGTCCCAACAGATTAACTCCCTGCCCTTGGGCTTCAATTCCAGGGGTCAGGTGGAAGGACACTTGGTTGCCAAGAGACTGTGGCCACACGAATACTTTTGTACTTCCTGCACCAAACTTAACTCTGCTTGGTTGTTCCCAAATAGTTGAATGTCAATTGATAATTTGGTGAATTGTAGGTTTGAGGAAGAACACATTCTCAGGTCTTCTATCAAACACATTTATTCCTAAAGTGAGAAGCTCCTAAAGGATAGTTAAAAGAAACTGAAATATTTGCAGTAGAAAAATCATGGACACTAGTAAAAGCTCAAATACAGTTATAGCTGAGTTACTCGAACACCACTTTTCCAGCATAGTAGAAATTAACTGCATTCTCTTAACATTTCTCAATAGACATGCACAAGGCTGAATCAAACATTTCAGGACTCTAGTCCTCAAGATCTTCCTGAATGGATTTATGCATACATGAAAAGAATTCACACCCAAAAAAAGAATTCACATCCTTTCTTTAAATATATAAAAAAAAAAAAGAGCAGCAGCATTTGACTTCAAAGGAAAGTAAAACAACACAAAAACGGCAACAAAATAGACTGCTCCTTCTATGTGCAAGGTACTGGATTCTGGTATTGAGAATCTTAATGTCAGTCCTCACTTCAAACATAATATCAAAAAAGCATGACAGGAAGATGACTCACCTTCAATATGAAGGATGTGAGTTGTGTACACTGACAACAATCTTGAAGGTAGAACAGTACTTCAGGAACAATGCCAGTGAGTGGACCTTTGTGTAAGGTCAGAAACTCATGCATTATAAGATATTGGGTTAAACAACTACATTATTTTTGGTTTAATCAAGGCACTTGTAAAGAACCATCTTTGACATATGTGGATTCTTGTGTGCTGTTAGCCACTGGAAATGGCATGAATAGTTGGTTATAACATTCTATACCAAGAACCCAAGTACAATGCCTTGATCACAAAGTCATTTATAATATTATGACTTCAAAGACAGATTCAGTTAAGCTTGCCACAAATCGTGAGTTTTTTTTTTAAATAGACCATGATTAAACAGAAAGGCTTTACTTAAGGTCTTGAGTCTCCAAAATTATAGTTCATCTTCCCAAAACACCATCCAATATCCTAAAAGTTTATTTGGCTTTTCTCCACAAGAATACATAGAATAGACCTCTTCCCTCTCTTCTGAGTTATTTCTCCAGGAGAAATAGTTGTAAACCCAACTTCAAAACACAAAAATAACCTTACAGTTTCACCAACAATGAAATGTTCAGACCTCCACTCCTACTCTGACTCAAGCCTCAGAGCTATTTGCATACCCCTTTCACACACTCCTCCTCACACCATTAACACAGCTTTCCATCACCATCAACTGTCCTTCTTCAACTTTTTCTTGCCCAATGTGAAAGCTAGTAACCGAGAGGGAAGACGGAAAGGACACTGGAAAGAAAAAAAAAAAGATTACTTAAACAGTAATAGTTCTCAGGCAGTTACTTGATCATCTAGAACAAAATGATGAGTAGAATCATCTGTCTGGATACCAACACTAACTTCTCAAGTGGCTCCTATTTTTCTGTTGCCAGGCCCTGAAGGTTCAAACCTAAACTTATCAGTAGAAAGTAGCAAAGGCTTCCTAATATTGAGCAATACAGATATAGAATTGCATGGGGACTACCACAGGTCAAGATCAGTCACTAGGTTGCTTAATTCATCGGTAAGAGGCCAAATTCTCCAATCTCCCCCAGCTCTGCCATTCTGGGAACAGTCCACTGGCCAACCTCGGACTGCCAAAGATGGTTGACTCCAGCTCAGTCTTGGGGGGCATCTGGTTGAATGCACAGTCCTGGGGTGCCATCTGTTTCTGCACCCCATCTGGTTTCCACTGTACATGAACAATTCTGTAATTCTGGCCCTGGTTGTTGTCCCAGAAGACTTGCCCATTAGCTTGATATGAAATGCAGAACTCAATTTTCTCCTCAATTGGGATGACAGAGGGTAAGTCAATGGCAAAGGAGAAGGTGTCGCTATCTGAGCTGCCGTACACATTCTTCATGTAGACACAGTCCACATCCGTATAGCTTTTCCACGAGTCAAACGTAATGCGGACCTGAACCTTCTTTTCAAAGCTCATGTTCTTCACTTTGATTGTCCCAGTCACTGTTCGTTCTTGCAAAGAGCAGTTCTCCAGACAGACAAGGTTCTTCTGAAAATGATTCCGGAAACTTAAGTAATCAGTTGAAGGCTGAGGAAAATCTAAAATCAGGGTTTTCTCCTCATGGAGTTTTAAACCAGAGGAGATATCATTAAGGTCCAAGAGATCAAACTGGAGGTCCCATGCAGGTTCTTCTGGAAGGTCAGAGAAAACATGGACTGCAGTGAGAGAGAGGCCCTTGGAGTCGGCAAATACAACCCGCTTCTTGGCTTGGTTGTGTGCGTGTTTCCATTCTTTCTGTGATTTGGCTTCCTGTTTGAGGTTGAGACATGATTTCAAAGGCTTCAATTTATTCACAAAACTTTTTCGTTGAAAGTCATTGTAAGGGCCCAAGAAACTCTTCAGAGGTGGCGAATGAGCCAGGCAAAACCTCATGGCCATATCCATTGGCATGACTGAACTCGTCAGAGGACGTGGGTCCAAAACCTGGATCATTCTGGATTGCAAAAAGAAAGGAGATTATGACCTAGATCTGAAATGCTCAGCCTGGTCCCAAATATATATTCCTATTTTTATACTCACTGAATTATGGCCAGTGCAGTAAGTAGCAGGGAGGTGCTATCCTATGTAGCATAAAAGTGTCAGGGGATCAGACCTGCATTCCATCCTGTGCCCACGGCTAGCGACTGGGTTGTGGCCTAACTGCTGAACTTGGAAGGGGTTCAGATTCCCCATCTGAGATGGTTGTATTTCATTATATCTATTACAATTCTAAGAGCAATTTGCTCTGTTCTATTCTTTTGGGGAGGATAGGGAGGAATTGGGATTCAAACTCAGGACCTCTCATTTGGAGTCTACCACTTGAGCCACACACCCCAGCCCTTTTTTGTTCAAGTTCTGTTTTTTTTTTTATAGGTTCACACATATACCAGAGCTGGCCTGTACTGTGATTCCTGCAGAGCTGGGCTAACAAATGCACACCACTCCACTCAGATTATTAGTTGAAATTAGGTCTCACTAACATTTTGCCCCAGCTGACTTCAAACTTCAACCGTCTATCTCTACCTCCAAAGTAAATGGAGGTGGCCTAAACCAAAGATTCTTAAACCTGATACTTGAGACCTAAAGCTATTAGAGAAGAACCTCTGGGGATAATGCCCATGAGGTGAATATATTCTTAAAGCTTCCCCAGAGAGTTTAGTGACCAGATAGGTTCTCCCAATACCATAGTTCCAAGCCCTCTGCTTACTGCTTTTTTGCTATTGAACTGATTACATTTCTCTAGATCAAGTGAAAGCCCAAAGCAGCAACCAGGAGTGAAAGACTAGGGAGTAGAGGTCAGAATTATCTTGTACTCCATTTATTATGTTCTTCCTCATTGTTCAAACAACCAATGGAAACACAATCTAACAGCGTGTACACAAACTTTCCAGACAATATTTCATATAGAAAGATACATGTGGGGCTGGGAAGGTGGCTCAGTGGTAGAGTGCTTGCCTTGCATGCATGAGGCCCTGGGTTTGATTCCTCAGCACCACATAAGCAGAAAAGGCTGGAAGTGGCGCTATGCTCAAGTGGTAGAGCACTAGCGTTGAGCTGAAGAGCTGAGGGACAGTGGCCAGGCCTAGAGTTCAGGCCCCACGACCAACAAAATAAAAAGTAAGAAAGAAGGAAGGAAGGAAGGAAGGAAGGAAAGAAGGGAGGGAGGGGGAAAGAAGGGAGAAAGGGAGGGAGGGAGGGAGGGAGGGAGGAAGGGAGGAAGGGAGGAAGGGAGGGAGGAAGGAAAGAAGGAAAAACTGGGGCTGAAGGAATAGTTCAAGTGATAGAGTATCTGCCTGGCCAAGTATAATTCCCTGAGTTCAAGCCCAACTACCATCCAAAACTGGTTGCCTTTATAAGATGCTAGATACAGTCATTTGTTCACTATAATAACTATTTTACTATTTGAATGTTTTAAATATATACAATATATATTTGTATGTTTTAAATATATACAATAAAATTTACCTTTTAAAAATCTAACTCCTAGAGAACTGAAATGTTTATTAAATATATATTAGACATATGAACTTACAAATAGTTTTAAAGCTTCATAGGAAATGTACTAAAAAGTAATCTATGAGTAACAATTACAGGAAATGCAATGAACTTTTTTTTTTTTTTTTTTTTTTTGCCAGTCCCCAGACTTTTACTTGGGCCTGGGTACTGTCCCTAAGCTGCTTTTTGCTCAAGGCTAACGCTCTACCAATCCAGCCACAGCGCCACGCCCGGCTTTTTTGAGTTGTATACTGGAGATAAGAGTCTCTGGAGTTTCCTGTCTGGCCTGGCTTCTAACCACCATCCTCAGATCTCTGCCTCTAGAATAGCTAGGATTACAGACATGAGCCACCAGCACCCACTGGCAATGACCATTTTTAAGAAAGACAGAACAAGCTATATAAAATTTAAACCTATCTAAATCCACCTATGTTCAACTGTGTTGAACTAAAAATCACTATCAAGGAGGGTTTTTGGTTTTAGTTTTGTTTTCTGGCTTATGGGCCTCCTATATGTTGCTAAACATAGGAAGCCCCCTCTCAGCCTTAAAGATAAAGAAGCATTTCTCATTCTGGCTTTAATAACAACACTCTCCACAGCAGCTCAAAGCACATGGTGAGTAGTCCTTATCACCAAATGGATAATGAAGAACAGTTCATGGGATACTAGCTTCAGTATTTTTCTTGGAGCCTGCAACCTTGGGGCAAACAAATGAAATGAAAACTAAACTTATACTTAGGGTCTAATGATAGTTACTAAGTAGAATTTTTAGAGAAGTTATCCACTTGTTATGTCTGGAAGTGACTTCATTTAGTTTTATGGAAATGCACTTTTTTTTTTACATTTATAGAAAAGACAATTTTAGTACTGGATTCTTTCCCTGGCCAAGAGTTAAAAATATACTTTGCTCCAACTCTGAGGCTGAGTTTGCTACTGCAAACCATAGAGTGGGAGAGAAATGAATGCAAATCTCACTAGTAATTTTTGTCTCCCAAGCTAACCACGAATACCAGAGTGCTGTCAAACATTAAGCTTCCCCCAAGTACTTGGGACAGTGTGCAGAGAACAGTGCGCCAAAGAGGGGATCCAAACTAAAGCTGACTCATGTGACGACCATTTCTGATATAGGATGCTGATTAGAAAACAAAAGGGGGGTGCAAGAAAAAAATTAAAATGCACACCGACAATTTGTGCATCCTCAAAGGCCTCCGCGGTGGCAGATTCGACTCAGCAGCCCCTCAACCGACCCTGCCCCCAGAGTCTTCACTTGCAGACGTGACGTGACAAAAATGCCAACCTCCCCCTACCCCCCGACTTCTCCGCAGCTGCCAGCTCCCCTCTATTCGTGGAGAGAGAGTTGCCCTGAACCTACCTGGTGCAGCTCATGAGGCTGGGAGGCAGCAGCGGACCGACAGAGCGTCACCCTCACCCGGACCCACCACCTCTCCAGTAGACTGCGGGAGGCCCAGCCCCAGAGCGGGTTTATCAACGCCCAACCACGTGAACGGATCCCTCCAGCCAATCGCCGGGCCGCGGGCCGGATGGCGCAACCAATCAGCGCTCAGCTGGAGCGCGAGCCTCCACCGGCGAACGTGTTCACCACGGGTGTGCCGAGAGCTGCCTGGGGAGCCCCAGGGGGACGCGGGGGACTCCGAAGCCAGCTGGACTGAGCCTCGTAACGCGAACCCGGAGCCAGGCGGCGTGCCGGCACGTAACGGACTGAGCGAGCCGGGAGCAGCCGCAGCCAGCTTCCCCGTCCCCCACCCTCCCACCCCACGCCACCCCGCCCCGCCCCGAGTGGGCGCCAGCTCCTCTGGGCCTGGGGCTTCCGCTGCTTAGAACTATGTGAGTCCGTGCACACGGGTAAGGTTTCAAGTGATTGTATTGCTCATGCGTGGTAGGTCCCTGCACCCTTGGGTCTGCACCATCAGAAACGGCCTGGCTGCTTCTTTGGTTACAAGGAATCCACAGAGCTCGCCGACGCCTCTGACAGGTGTGGTGCGGGAGTAGGTACGTCCCGGAAGCCGAGCGGGAGCTAATGCGACGACCCCGGAGCCGACGCTGTGTCTCGCGCCTCTTACCCCGTCTCTAAGGAGGCTGAGATTCAAAGCCAGCTCACTGGGCTCACGCCTAGCTACTCGGGCTGCGATCTGAGGATCTCACTTCGAAGCCAACCCAGGCCAAAAAAAAGTCCATGAGATTCTTATCTACAATAAACTGAAGAAGAAGCAGCCAGAAGTGGCTCTGTGGCTCAGATGGTGCAGTGCTAGCCTTGAGCAAAAGAAGCCCAGGGACAGTGCCCAGACCTTGAGTTCAAGCCCCAGGACCCGCAAAAAAAAAAAAAGTCTTACGCCAATTAACCACCAAAAAGCCTGGTATGGAGCTGTGGCTCAAGTGGTAAAGTGCCAGCGAAGAGAGGAAAAAGCTAAGGGACAGTGCCCAGGTCCTGAATTCAAGCCCCAGTAAAGGAAAGAAAAAGGAAGGGGAGGGGGGAACACTTTGAAGCCTGCACTGTGACTCAAGCCTATAAGAGCATTCAGAAGACAGGGGCATAAGTTCAAGACCAGCCTGGGCTACACACTATACCCTTTGTTAAAATAAATAAGTGAAATTAATTTTTTTAATGAATGTCACTTTATATTTCAGTTTGTTCTTCAATTTTCTCCATGAAAGAGAAAAATAAAATCAGAAATGATCTTTCTTACTCACTGGGTCGTCTGTTTGGTTCTGAAGTCCTCTGGCAGTGATGAAGAAATAAAAATATTAAAATATCCCACAGCTTCACTGAGGTTTCCTTATTTTGTTTAGCTTGAGGGATGTTTTTAGAGCTTCGGTTACAGCCATAAATTTGAATTTCTAAGTCACGTGTAAATTATTTTTGTGAAATGCACCTTCTAGTCCTGTAGTACTTAGAGATCCACAGTCAAATAAAATTGTAGAAAAATCCCTGTGTCTTAAAAAAATGAAACTTTTTAAAATGAAATTATTTAAGTGAAGAGAAAGAAACTCATGCTGAATATTACTAAAAGACTTCAATATTGAGCTTTATTTTTTAAATGAAACATAAAATTGCTGGTAGGTTTTGTACCCTTTTAGCTCAGCCAAAAATAGCTAAAGAGCATAGTCTTTGGGTTTAACACTTTCTACCTGAATCTAAGCAGGTTATTTCCTCAATTTCCTGATGTGAAAAATGGAGGTCATCTACTTGTTCTGAGGATTACATTTGCTTGTGCAAATGAGCAAACTCAGTCCAATATCCAATTCCATGTGCTCAGCCCATGTTAGTTCTCTTGGTCAGTACTGGTTTCTTCTGTCTCTCACCTCAAGAAACTCAGTACCTGAGCATATTGATAACCTGAGCATATTGATAACAGCTATTGCTATGGGACCTTTACCATGCACCAAACATGTAGTCTAAGTGTTTCAGGTATGCGATCTATTCTCATAACTCTCCTGGTATCTTTTATCATTTATCTCATCATAGAGAAAGAGAAACTGAGACACAAGAGACCTGCTCTAGATGTTGCAGGTAGACCTGGGATTAGAAACTGGCTGATGCCAAAGCAATAACCATGGTCTCATATTGCTTTCCTTTCAGTACTCCTCAACAGTTACAACAGCCTAGGTGGAAGGTGCATTTCTGGCACTGAACTCTTTGGTAATGGAAGCATCTAAATTTAAAGTTCAGCTGCTGCTGCTAGGCACCAGTTGCTCACTCAGAAGACTGAGATCTGAGGATCACAGTTTGAGCCCAGGCAGGAAAGTCCTGGAGATTACCATCTCTAATTAATCACCAAAAAACTGTAAGTGGGGCTGTGGCTCAAGTAGGAGAGTGCTAGGCAAAAGCAAAAACAAACAACCTCTGCCTGTCTAGAGTCCTTTCATCTGCTTATAGCCACAAACTATCTTAAAAAATAAACTACCAGCTACAGTAACAACATAACATAAAACAATAACTGCTGTTCAGGGCACTGGTGGCTCACATCTGTAATTCTAGCTACATAGGAAGGTGAAATCTGAGGAGCACAATTTGAGACCAAGCAGGGCAAAAAAGTTCACTAGAGTCCATCTCCCAAATAACCAGCAAAAACAGAACAGGACTGTAGGTATAGCTCAACTGGTAGAATGATAGCTGAGCTAAAAGAGAAAAATAGGAGGGGAAATGTTATCATCCCACCTATGGTAGAAAAATGTGCGTGCATAAAAAAAGAGAATACAACCAGGTGCCAGTGGTTCATGCCTCATGCCTGTAATCCTAGCTACTGAGTCTCTAGACTCAGAAAAAGTCAGAAGTGGCTCTGTGGCTCAAGTGGTAGAGTGCTAGCCTTGAGCACAAAGAGGCTCAGGGACAGTGCCTAGGCCTTGAGTTCAAGCCCTATGCAAAGCAGGGGGGGGGGGGAGGGAGAGGAAGAGAAGGAGAGCGGAGAGAGAGAGGGAGAAAGAGAGAGAGAGAGAGAGAGGGAGGGGAAGGAGAAAGAGACTATTCTATACCAAAATGTTAATATTTGTTTGTGGGAGGGAGGATAGAGATGGTATATAATAAAACTGTTTTTGTTGCTTAACTTCTCTGTAGCTTTTAATTTTTTTTTTTTAACCATGAGCATGAAAGACTTCTGTATTTAAGAAATCATTTTTTTGTTAGGTTCATTTTCTTTTTTTTCTTTTTAATATATATTTTTATTGTAGATATACTGTACAGGGGCTGGGAAGGTGGCTCAGTGGTAGAGCACTTGCCTTGCATGCCTGAGGCCCTGGGTTCGATTCCTCAGCACCACATAAGCAAAAAGAAAAAGCCAGAAGTGGCGCTGTGGCTCAAGTGGTAGAGTGCTAGCCTTGAGCTGAAGAGCTGAGGGACAGTACCCAGGCCCAGAGTTCAGGCCCCACAACCGGACCTAAAAAAAAAAAAAAAAAATACTGTACAGAGGGATTACAGTTATATGAATAAGGTAATGAGTATATTTCCTATCGAGCATTGTTTCCCTCCCTTTGTTTTTCCCCACCATCCCTTCCCTCCTCAACTCCCCAACTCCACCCCCCAAGTTCTAAAGTTCATTTTCAACATAATGTCTTGTACATCTGTGTGTGTGTGTGTGTGTGTGTGTGTGTGTGTGTGTGTATAAAATCACATTTTCTTGATCCATTCATCTACTGAGGGGCATCTGGATTGGTTTGATATCTTAGCTATGGTGAATAATGCTGTGATAAACATAGAGTGCTGGTAGCTTTAGTGTGGCCTTGTTTATGATCGTTAGAGTAAATGCCCAAAAGTGGGTCTAGGGGAACTCTATGCGTTGTCTTTTGAGGAACCTCCATACTGCTTTCCAAAGTGGTTGAACAAGTTTACACTCCCACCCAACAATTCAGCAGGGTTCCCTTTTGGGGAAAATCCCAGCATCTGATGTCATTAGATTTCTTGATTATAGTCATTCTAACTGGGGTGAAGTAGAATCTCAATGTTGTTTTCATTTGCATTTCTTTTATGGCTAGAGAAGTTGAGCATATCTTCATGTGTCTACTGGCCATTCTTATTTCCTCTTCAGAGAAGTCTTTCCTTAAGTCTATAGCCCACTTAGGAATGGGACGGTTTTTTTCTTTGAGGATTTGTTTCTGGGCAGTTTAACTTTTTGAGTTCTAAGTATATTTTAGATATGAGGCCCTTGTTCGTTGTATGACTAATGAAGATCTTCTCCCAATCCGTGAGCTATGGATCTTGCTAGTTATGTCCTTTGCCATGCAGAAACTCTGCAGTTTAATGAAATCCCATTTGTCCAACCTTCATTTTTAAGTCGGGTACCGGTGGCTCACACTTGTAATCCTCGCTTCTCGGGAAGCTAAGATCTGAGGATCACAGTTCAAAGCCAGCCTTGTCAGGAAAAGCCATGAAACTCTTATCTCCAATAAGCTACCAGAAAACCAAAAGTGGAGCTGTGGGACAGCACTCAGGCCCAGAGTTCAAGCCCCATAACCAACAAAAAATAATAATAATAATAATTTTTAAAGAGTTTAAAAACATCCAAATTCAGATATGTATAAGCCTATATACCAATACTAAGAATGGTATTAGAACCCTTCATATTACTTCTTCTATATAATATACATCCATAAAAATTTATTTATGGAAACTACAAACATAATTCCAAGACAGAACCAATACAGAGTATTTTACAGTATTTTAATATTTCCTTTTCACTCAAATCCACTTGGTCACACTTTCTACAAACAAATACACTGGATTAAAACAACAATCTTCTTAACTTCAGCTTGAATGCCTGAGTATTTTGAGCACATAATGAAGCGGAGGCAATGAATTTTGCTTAAAACCTGATTTCCACTCAGAGCTTAACTTCACAAATGATCATCAAATGGCCTACCTATGTAGGTAAAATTATAAAGCTATTATAAAGAAAGTCTAGGGAATTTGTAAAGTTAATATAAAACAATAAGCATATGGATACACA